AGAGAGAGAGAGAGAGTGTAAAATGCTGTTGATGCCTCAGTACATGGATTGATGGATTTGTACAGCTTGACCCTATTAATGATAGGTTTCAGTTTCTCTTGTTCTTCGTGGATGAGTGAGTGGCAGTGAATAACTGTGAACGTGAGAGACATCAAACTCAGCATTTACTGCTATGTGAAATTTTACCCAGACCATACAAGCAAGTGAGAAGGCTGTTACGAATAAACGAATTATGATTCTAGATTAAAGCCCTAGTCCTACATTTATTTATGAACGGACATAAAATACAGGCTCACACCGAATGAAATACAACTTGCCAATCGAACAAATAACTATTCTATACTGAATATCGTACCTCAGAGCATAGATCTATTAGGTGATTTACACAAACCCAGGGCCGGATTCAATGATGCACTTACGATGGTAAAATCAATGGTGACTATAGTTACCATTGTAAACAGCCAGGGTGGTATTCACTAACAACTTGCCATTGGAGTTATCAAGGTAAATTTTACCGGTGGTAACTTCTGGAATGCATGTATGATGGCTAACAGATATCACAATATGGACATGGTGAAGAAATGCAAATCTGACATGAACCTAGCAAGAATAGAATCCACACGTTTTCGTAAAATTACAGGTAGACATAGGCCGAAAAAGACTGTATTGTGCATGGAATAGATAAGTGAATTAAAAATTCTTCTCTGACATAATTATAAATCCTCTAGAAAAAATTACCTTGCTAACATATAAACTTGCAATACTAATGATAAATGCGTATAGTAACGGCATTTGGCCAAAGGCAATCGCATGGGGAAAAATGTACTTGAAATATTTCCTTTATTTGACGATAGGTAACGATAAATAAAAATGGTTTGGCGCGTCTCTTTCTCTAACAGTAATGAGAAATAAATAAACAAACACTGTTTGGATATATATATGTTTGTGTGTGTGTCTATATACATATAAGTATATTCAAATATATATCGTCGATAGGGGGAAGGGTAGCCGGGGCACCGACCCCGGGGCCCAGCGTAAAAAAATACATTAGTGGTTAGTTGAGCCCAAGAACAACTACCAAATTCATAGTGTATTTGTAATAAAGAACGTTATAGCAGTTAACGTTAACAAGATTAAAAATAAGGAAGTGGTTCAAAAAATGTTCTCAATCTTCTGCCAAACTAGCAATATTTTTGAAGCTATTTGATATTAGTAACATTCTTGATGACAAGTTCTTGATTGTAAGTTTGAGTAACATACAGTTTATATTAACATGAAAGTTTAAGGGAAATCTCGCACTCGCTCTCTTTTAATATCATCACATGTTGATGAATTTTTAAAACTATATGATCACCATTAGTAATTCATATACCATTACACACAGAGACACACACACATATATATATGTGTCTGTCTGTGTGTACATGTATATGTATATATGCATATTTGCATATACATAAATATATATACATATATATATATATATATATATATATATATATATATATATATATGAATATAAAATCATAAATTCACACATATATATATATACATACATACATATATATATATATATATATATATATATATATATATATATATATATATATATATATACATATATGTATATATATATACATATATATAATATATATATATATATATATATATATACATATATATATATATATATACTATTATATATGTATAGTATATAATTATATATATATATATATATATATATACACACATATTTAATTATACATATATCACTCTTATAATATCATTATCTCTCATTCTTATCTATATATACTATATATATATATACTATATATATACTATACTTTACTTACTGTATTATGTACTTACAGTATCTATTTCTATTAATATTAGATGTATATTATTATATATTTTATGATATAACATATTATTAAAGACATATTTAATATACACACCTTATATTATATAATATGTCATAAATACTAATTCGATTAACACACATAATACATCATTACATACTTATTCATACATAACTATAATACATGCATACTACTCTCACACAAAACATAACACACAATCACAAAACAATTCTATATTAATATGTATAGCTCATAGATATTATTTATAACATATTCTATTATACGTATGGGTGTCGACGCTTGGTTAATAATGAGATATGGTTAGAGTGGTGCTTACATTGTCATGTGGAATTAACTTTATCGTGTGATACTCCATTTTACTTCTCTGTTTCTATTAATCTTAAACTATTCTAGTTCATGTAGTCCAGATGCAATTCTACTCATCTAGTATTACATCATACTCATCCTATCCTACCTCACACTTTACTCCTTCATAACTACTCCATCTCTCATCTCTAACGTCGATCACTAACTGAACACACCAACTCATATCAAGGCATCTACACACGACACACAAACAACACACACGAAAGTAAGACCCCTAACTCATCTAGACCTCGAACAACGGCAACATTTACCATCATCAAATATAATTACACACAAAACCGATTACATGCCTACACATATTTACAGTCACATCCACAGCGATCGACACAAGCATCACCTCAACATCTCCACACAAACCCGAGCCATGTCACCAATGGCAACCAATTACTTACTTATCAAATCCAATACAATTGGCCATTACCATCCAAGCACAGTACATATTGTATATTACATGCGTCGACCGGACAATCCCCAATCAGCTCAACACACAGTCTTCAATGAACACCAGTTAGGACAATACACATTAATTAACAATAAACTTATAAGGTAGCTGTCCAAATTCCTCTCAACTATTTATATTATTTATCTCGACCGTTCTATGTCACCTGCATGATACTTATCGGCTACTCACTGACTTATTATTTACTGTTCCTCCTTGTTTTGCCTTTACTTATGGTACATTATATATAAATACGTTGTATTGTTTTTTATTTCTTTTATTATATGTCTCTAGTTATTAAATTGCATACTCGGAATGTACGTGTATCATTATTTTCATATATTTTTATATGTCGTATGCTTTAATGTACCTCATTTTATTGACTCGGAGTAGATGTAAATTATTAATGAAATCATTTTCCTACTTATAGGGCATTCGGTTATCTACCTTCTATAAGCAATTTTTATTCAAGTGCGAACTCATAATATGATTTCCATAACCATAAAGACCAGTGACGTACCATTCGCCTATCATAGTCCACGACATGAACCATATGACGGTAATGATATCTGACAATCTCAGGGTAATATGGCTTTTTCGTGAACCATGATGTTTTGAAATAAAGTTACAAATAATATAAAAGAGTAAATAGGTAATTTTCACTCGCAGGATTCTACGCTCGGTGTCACCTTCAGATAAGTGTTATCTAGGCTTGTTTACTGTCTGTCCCGATATTAAATTAAGTTTTTGAAATGCGCTTTGATAACTGATTTTTGATTGAGCTACGGGCCATTATCTAATCTCCGAACACTCCAGTTTCAATTACTGCACTTCGTATTCCTGCGTTTGCCTTTACTTCTGTTATCAATAGGTAGTAGTTTACGCAAAACGTCACTTCCCTCTCTATCGTAATTTCCTTATACTTTCTCTTATTCTAAGGACACAATTGTATGAATACATAATATATAATAATTCATAGACATCTTCATTACAACTATAATAACTCACTGTAGCACATTCATACCCAGCACCCACCTCAATACTACACTATCCACACACACATCACTACCTACATCATCTACCTATTTCCCATATCACTACACACTACACACTATCATCACAATAGACACGATCAACACTCACGGTGCGAAGTATTCATGTAGTTATATTCAGTATAACAATATTGTTTCTCTAATATGGGGTAAATGCTAATAACTCTCGATAAACGTAATTCATTATCCCATATATAGTAATGTAATTCAAACCTATTTTCAAGTGAACTGATTATAGGTGAACACATAGCTTTGTTTATGTACAGTATATCATTATATAGCTTAATTTTTATTCATTGTTTCCTGTTAATGGTTTTATGGATTTGAATAATCGATTTTATAAATAATCTCTCTCTCTCTCTCTTTCTCTCTCGCTCACTTGGACATTCATGGAAATGCATTCTATATCATTATCTGTGCATACCAATTATAAACATAGCCATCCACAGGAACATTTAACCAGAGAATACCACACAATAAAAACCCCAACTCTGGAATGTAAATGAAACCCTCCAGATTTAGCCACAAGTCGAGAAGGCAGAGACCTTCATTTTTGCCTCAAAGGGAGGTCAAAGGAAGTTCAGGCGCATGGAAACCAAACGGATTTATTCTTGGCGTTAACACAGCAAAGCCATTAGCGTCTGTATTTGACTCATGTCTCGGCGCTCTCGGGGAGGGGTTGGAAGTGCCGAGAGCAAATGGTTCCCGTGACTTTGCACATAGTACACACGACTATATATATAATATATACACAAATTCATATTAATGTCACATGCGTTATATATTTAAAACATTAATTAGCTCGTGCTCGTCTGTTCTAGTGTC